TCAAGGCCAGCCTGAATTACATAGTTAGAACCTGTCTCAAGAAAAATTAATAAATAAACCAACCTGTTTAGCCAGATGTGGTGGTGCATGTTTGTATTCCCAGCACTTGGGAGGCTGGGGCAGGAGTATCTTTGCAAGTTTGAGACCAGCCTGAGCTACAAAGTGATCTCAAAGACAGCCTGAGCTGCATAGTGAGACCCTGTCTCAAAAAGACCAAAAACAAAAAGTTTAAATCTTACAGATATCCATTCTGGTCATTAACCTAGCAGGGTTTAGGTTCCAGATCCAATGTAAATTATTATTAGAAAACTTTTAAGGAGTTATTTAATTGGCTTATGCTGAATTTCGGTCTCTACCCTGATTAAAGATTCTCCCATTTTTCTCTCATTTCAGAAACAGATGAAGGAGCTCTTATTCCTGGCCAAACAAAGTAGTCGGAGCAACCATACAATTTGGTTTGGACACTTTACAACGTCCACTATCCTTTCTCCATCTCCAGGAATCCAGTCAACAATGAGGTAAAGAAAATTGCCAAAAATAAAAATTAATTATTTTTAGTTCTTTTATTGCTGTGCCTGTCTTGTTTTCCTAAAGAGGCATCCTTACTAGTGTGGCATCACAGGCTGTCCTTGTTCACTTACTCCATTTATTTTTCATTGGCTAGCTCGGCAACGGCTTACCTGTGTGGCCACCTCCATACGCTTGGTGGACTGATGCCAGTTTTGCACACTCGTCACTTCCAGGGCACTTTGGAACTTGAAGTGGGAGACTGGAAAGATAACAGAAGGTAAGGGATTGTCCCCAGATTAAACTTACATACAGAAGCTTGCTGAAACAATGGTATTTTGCTTATTGATATGATAGGAAGTCCTAGATAAGGAAAAACCCAGGTTTTTCCTTATCTCACTGCTAGATAAGGAAAGACCTGGGTATTTCTGTTTTGTTTTGTTTTGTTTTGTTTTGAAGTAACTTACGTACCTGGCAATCTTTGTCATTTTAAAAAAGCCTTGCAGTAGCAGTGATGTTCACCATCACTGTATCATGTTGAATTTTCAAGGAAAGAGTTTTATAGAAGGAACAATTTTCTTTCTTTCTTTCTTTCTTTCTTTCTTTCTTTCTTTCTTTCTTTCTTTCTTTCTTTCTTTCTTTTTCTTTCTCTTTATCTTTCTTTTTTCTTTTTCTTTTTTTTTTATGGTACCAGGGATTGAACTCAGGACCTTGCACTTGGTGGGCAAGCACTTATTCCACTGAGCTGTCTCCCTGACCCCAATATGGTTGGGTTTTTTTCCTCTGTATTTTAGGGAAGGATTTACAGGGTGTTCAGGGTCTCACTACTAGATCAGACTTGTAGTGAAGGAAATAGTTTTAAATTGCATATGAATTATGGAGGAACTTATTTAAAATTTTCTGGGACCTTCCAACAGAGGTTGTGTTGGACTGCGGTCTATATTGATCTAGGGATGATACTTGGAAAAGCATTAGGATTAGAAGTATTACTCTTTTTTGTGTTTTTGTTTGTTTGAGAAAGGATCTCTGACAGCAGTCCTCCTGCCTCAGCCTCCTGAGTGCTGAGTTACAGGTATGCGCCACAATACCAAATTTATAAGTGTTCTTATTCTTTTTTTTTTTTTTTTTTTTTGGTACTGAGGATTGAACTTGGAACCTTGAGCTTGTGAGGCAGTCATGTATGCTACTGAGCTACATCCCCAATCAAAAGTGTTATTCCTTTTTTTTTTGGCGGAATCAGGGATTGAACTCAGGCCCTTGCACTTGCCAGGGAAGCACTTATTCCACTGAGCCATCTCCCCAGCCCAAAAGTGTTATTCTTTTACCTGAATTTTTATCTACAAGATATTAGCAATTTAAAATTTTAAGTAAGTGACCATTTGGTTTTGTTAAGTGTAAAGTCTTTCTAATAAAAAACAACTTGTTTAACTGAGTATGGTGGTATACACCTGTAACCCCAGCACTCTGGGAGGCTGAGGCAGGAGGATTACAAGTTTAAACTCAGCCTGGTGAATTTAGTGAAATAGCAAGATCCTGTCTCAAAATAATAATAATAAAAAAAAAAAGGTGGGCATGATGGTGCACACCTGTAGTCCCAGCCCTCGGGAGCCTTAGGCAGGAAGATCGCCATGAGTTCAAAACTAGCCAGGGCTACATAGTAAGTTCAAGACTAGCCTAAATTATCTAGCGAGACCCTGTCTCAAAAAACTAAAAACTAAAATGACTGACTGACTGACTGACTGACTGACTGGGGATGTAGCTCAGTATGAAACCCTAGATTCAAATTCTAGTCTCCCCTCTGCACTCCATAAAAGATAGTTATTCGTCCAAAATATGTAGTATAATTGAATATATATATTTTTTCTTTTTGAGAAAAATACTTAAGTGAAATAATTTATAGAAAAGTACCATCTCATTTTCTGTTACTTATAATTCATTCAAATCCATTGCTCTGAAGATATTAAGGCCCTCAACATTGGTTGGACTGAATATGTTATTTATTTATAAATTTATGTATTTGGTACAGTGTCTTACTACGCAGCTCATATTCATAGTGATCTAGCTGTTTTCAGCCTTCCCAGCACTGGGATTACAGGTGTGCACCACCCTGCCCAGATTCAGTGGCTGGCTCAGTGCGCCCCTGGGTGAGACCAGCTTGGCATGCGGTACCAGGGATCGAACCCAGGTCCCTGCGCTTGCCTAAACAAGTACTTAGTCTGCTGAGCTATCTCGCCCTGTTAATTTATTTTTTAAATATTTCCATTAATTAAAAAGCAGCTTTACATCTTGGAAAGTACTTCCTCATTGTGGTTAGCTTTCCAAGAAACTATAAGAGCTATGCTGAAGCCTGCTACTGCTTGGTAACTGTAATTACTTTGAGCTAAGACTATCTGTTCATAATGATAAAGCAAGTGGGCTGCATTATGACTTTTGTGAGATAGCTTTCCTACCTCTAGGTCAACTTCTTTTTTCTTTTTTTGGATTAATTTTATTGGTAGATTTTAGTTAGATATAATGATCACATTCATTATCAGGAATTTGTTCCTTGATCCATTATTTTTTCGCCTGTCCTCCTTACAAACCCATGTCCCCTCTTTATTTACAAAAGCTTTATTTCAATATTTTTCCTTCTGTTCTTTTTTTTTTTTTTTCCTTTTGCCTTCCTTTCCTCCTCAAATGTTAGGTCAGCTTCTGTATTACATCTGAATGGTACTGTTACAAATTGTGTTGTTAACTGTGAAACCATTTCGTCTTTCTTTCCACCTGCTTTTCTGTATTCCAGCCCTAGTTTTTTATAGTTTTACTGAAAAGACCTAACCTTTATCTGTCATAATAAACATTTAAAGTTACAATAGAAGATTTTGAAACAGAATATTGATATTATCAGGCTGAGTCTTGTAATAGATAAATCCAGAAATACCAGTGTTAACATAATAAACATTCATTTTTCACTCCTTTGAGTCCAGAGCAACTCTTCTATGGGGGACTCAGGAATTCCAGTTTCCTTGATCCTGTAATACCACTGTATCACCCCCATTCCAGAGCAGATCACACTGGCTCTTAAGTTCTTTGGGTCAACATTGTGGTACACATCACTGCCAGGATAAGTCACACGGCCCCAACCAACTACCAAGGAGACTGGGAAATGCTGGAGAGCATATGGAGCATTTGGTGAACATTACTGTTTCTGTCAGAGTTAATACTTTCTTCGTAGGGCTGGGATATAACTCAGTGGCACAGTGCCTGCCTGGTGAGTGCAAGGTCCTGATTTCATGTCCTGGTACCAAAAAAACCAAAAAAACAAAAAAATCAGAATAACAGAAAAGTCAAGTAATTTCTTCACTTGGGAGGCTGAGGCAGGAGGATTATAATGAGTTTGAGGCCAGCCTAGGCTGCCTGAACTACATAAGTAGACCTGTCTTTTAAAAAAAAAAAGAAAAACATCCATCTGGGGTCAGAGAGATAGCTCTGCATAAGCACCTACCTAGCAAGCATAAGGACCCAAGTTCTGTCTCTGGCCCCACACGTCGTGTAGTCTGGGCCCTGGATGCGGACACCCACTGTCCTGGGTATGGTGGTACACTCCTATAATCTCAGCACTCTGGAGGTTAAGCCAAAAGGATCTCTTTGAGTTTGAGAGCAGCCAGGGGGATACAAAAATGAGCACAAGGCCAACCTGAACTGCATAGTGAGATGCTGTCTCAAAAAAAAAAAAAAAAAATCCATCCATCCATTGTCTCAGTCAGAGCCTAGTAAGTGTATCAAGTGAGAAGATCAAGTCATGGGGTAAGGAAAGAAAAAGAAATATATTTTTCCCCTCTATATTC